GTATCAAAAGGGTTTTTATCATATCAAAAGGGTTTTTTTCGTATCAAAAAGGATTTTGTCGTATTAAAAGGTTTTTTTCTATCAAAAAGGTTTTCTCATATATCAAAAAGTTTTTTTTATTAGTATCAAAAAGGTTTTTTTTTTGTATCAAAAAGGTTTTTGTCCAATCAAAAGAGGCTTTTGTCTTATCAAGTTAAGTTGTTTTGCACATCAAATAGGTTTTGTACCTATTAACAAGGTTTACTTACGGATGTATGTATCTCTAGAATTTTGAAACAATCGGCGCGCCATACACATGATTCTACACTCAATAAAAACTCTCCTCTATAAATAAAGAAATAACCTTCAATTCTTTTTGACGTTCCTTTGGAGCTACGATGGACCTGAATCGTGCGTACTCGGAGCTTTCCTACTCAACACCATCAAAGATAAATATGTTAATAGTTTTAGCCTATACAGAAATGGGGATTTTTTTAAATATCTTTGCTGGCTGTATTTTTCATATTTATACGTAGTTTGTTTAATCAACTATGAATAATTTTAATAATTTTACCAGCTTGGAAAGAAGTTTAGAATTATTCATGGTTGATTAAACAAACTACGTATAAATAGAAATGGGGATGTTGGGAGAACACTCAAAAAGGCCTAAAATCACTCCCTACGCTCGTGTTTTTTTAGGCCTTTTTCGTGTTCATCGTCCCTGCGTGCTTTGTTTCACCGATAAACGCACGGCATCCATCCTTTATTGCTTAATGAAGTAAACCTTAAACTAAACAATGTCAAGTACACACCTTATACTAAAGCTAACAATACCCCCCTCCTGCCCCTCGACGTCAACAAACTGTCCAACAATATCCCTGAGAAATTAACAAGCGCGTCTCTGAAATTTTCTTATGATGAAGATTCCTTTAACACTGCTTACACCTCTACACAAAAAAAGGCTCTTGACAACTGTGGATATAATCATCCACCCATTTCCATTTCAGCAACCACCAACCAACCCACACCAAAAAATAGACAATCATGAAAAACCGCCAAAGACAAATTTGGAGAGGCCAACGAGTTCTGGGGAAAATATATCTGTTCTTACGTCCCAGACAGATAAAAGTAACAGGTGGTTACCAGCAAGATTATAATACTCTCAGAAATAACATTTTTCTCACGAAACTATTAAAACATTTCCAAACTATAAAAACACGTTTTCTATTGGCTGAAGGATCGATGCTCCCAAAAACGATCTATTCTTTTGAAACAATGTAAACTGAAAATTAGTTTAATTCACTGAAAGTTTGCCAAGCAGTATTT